CTCATTATAAATCCACAAGGTGGGGCTATAAACCACAGCATTCAATAAATATATTTGACAAGTTGTGTGTCCACAAGACCAGTATAAATAGGATGGGTAGATGGATGATACCCAAATGAAAATGGGAATTTATGAATGGGAGCAAGCCCCTACAGTAAGTTACTATAATCCTTATACTTACCATTTTACTGAGTAACTGCAGATTAGACATCGAGAGATGGTTGCATGATCAAGTAAGTGGGAGAGAGAAAGAAGATGACATAGAAAAAGAGAGTATACCGGTAAAGTAATGAACATTATAAACCTGTAAAACAAATAATAATCGAGAGGAATGCAATCAAATATAAGCCACTACATTATATGGAGGAAACAATGGTCTGTATGGTTCTATACTATGAGAAAGGCTGTGTCTATACTCACTGTGTTCTATATATGTACTAAATCAGGATATTGAATTAACAAGGTATTTATAATTGTCAAATTAATGGGAACTGACTTGGAGCTGATTGATTGACCAATCTGAGCCATCATTTAACAAAGACATCTGAATGTCTTCAACACTACCTCCAGAGAAACACCTGGTACAGAGAGAAAGAGAGAGATAGAGAAAGAGAGAGAGAGAGAGAGAGAGAGAGTGATTAGCATAAGAAATATCATGCAATGCTTGACTTACTTGTCAATGAGCTCTAAGTGTGGAGTGAGTGAAAAGCTCCTGTCATCAATATTGAGACTCTAAATAAAACCCAAAATAAGCAACCACAACTTATACATAGAACATGCAACACATAATCACTCAAAACATAAACATGACCATATTACATTCATGTAGACATAATTATAAACAACACACACTGTGGTTGCATAAGAAGCTAATCTTCTTATATGAACTACATATACAAGTACCTCTTTGTGATATTTGTCTAATATTGATTTAACAACATAATGAGGATCTTTCTTCATAATCGGATCATCACATGATTCAGTGAGTTCACTCAACAGCGACGGAATCTAACAAAAGAACAAATATAGTAACAGCCAGACGCTTACATCCACACAGTGCAAGCTTTACAGCTTTACCTTCTCTTTTCCAATTAAATGAGTTGCAATCCCACCATGAAGAACGTCACGTCCTTTCAATCTGTGACCTACCCAAGCAATATAAATAAAAGAGTTTATGCACTAAATCTACATGTGTATATCCATATAATACATGTACATGTATATCCATTACAATATATTGAGCATCACAATCATACACTAATTATTGCTACACTATAATTTATCATTATTGCCACCAACAGTAAAGCAACGAGTTTGGCAATAATTGCAGACAAAAAGGAAAGACAAAATACTGAGTAGACTTTGAAATACACAAATTAAGAAAATATTTATATTTACATCAAAAACAATCACATTTTTATACAGGTACAGGTACATGTACATTGTACAGAAGTGTCAATGTTTCATATGGAGAAAGTGCTAACAACATGACAGTGTCTCATTACCAGTTAGAGCCAAATACATTCCAAGTTCTCCTTTCAGTCTTGGTAAGAAGTAGCCTCCTCCAACATCAGGAAAGAATCCTAAAAGTAAGTTCTATGTACATGTACATGTACATCTACCCTCAATCTTCATGAATCACTAAT